AGACCTACAGCAGCCTGGTGTCTTTGGGTGAGCGAAACTCTTCCGTAACATTCAGGAGGCACAGGTTTTTAATTAATATAGGAACAATTTATAGGGTTTTACGCTATTCAGTAAGAGTATATTTCATGAAAAACATGTCATCCTTATCTCAGAAAAGACTCAGTTGGCCTCTTTATTGCATACTTTCTGTAGCTGAGCTCTTGTCATTGTTCTAAGGATCTCACTTTGCAGTTTTATAAAGTCCTGTGTTACTTCCTCTTAACAGGGTACTGCATTAGTGAACCTGAAGTGATCCTCAGGTTGGAGAAAGGAGCAGAGCCACGGATGATAGAAGAACACCCAAACCAGAGCCGGACCATAGTTTGATCCATATACTGGTCAGTTGCCCACCCACCATGTATCTTTATAATGTCTGTGTAATTATTTAAAGGAATTTCATTGAAAGGACAATGAATATGTTGGATTTAAAAATGGACAAAATGCAAAAAAATAATAATAAGATAAATTTAAGATGAATTATGTTGATAGACTTCTTAATATAGAGTTTTCCTTTAATAGTGTAATAAATTTAGAACATTTCTTTTTCTTCTTTACAGTCTTTTATTTCCTCTATCATATGATTAACAATAAAGTGCTTCTGCAGACTCTTTCCTTGTTCTTTTTTGGTTTTGATTTGTTTTCTTTTTATTTGGTCTCTTTTAGGTTTGTTCACTTATTCTGATGTCTTCAAGTAACTTTGAAATTTTCATACTTTCCTTGTACTGAATATCTGCCCAAAACCTGACCCGCAGCTTGACAGTGTTAAGATAGTGGGAAATCCAATTATGGTCATTGAAAGTTGGGGCCTCCAAGATGTGATTAGATTGTAAGATCATGCCATAAGGAATGAGTTAATAATGGGGGGCAGAAGTGTGCTTCTGAGGGTTTTAAAAGAAGAACACGTGAGAGCTTAGCCTGTCTCTACTCTGCCATTTTCTGCCATATGAGACCACTGGTTCACTGTCGTCCCCACCATAGCCTCCCCCAGCTGTGTTCTCTGGACCTTGGACTTCCCAGCTTTTGAGTCTGCAAACAGTAAATTTCATTTTCTTACAAATCACCCAGTTCTGGGTATGTTGTTATAAGCACTGGAAATGGACTAACAGATTTTCAAATCTTTATCTTCAGCTTAGGTCTCTCTCACTTCAACTCTGGAATCATGTATCTGATTGCAATTTGGACATTCCCACAGATATTTAAAGTATAGTGTGTTCAAGTCTGCTTTATTTCTGCCCATCATATTTTTCTGCCATTCTTCAATTTACACTTTAGAGTGCCACTACCTCACTAACTATGATTATGTAGATAGCCTGAGAGTAAAACACTTTTATTTTCTGCACAGGAATTTAATGCCACAGTGTCTTCCTGAATTTTATTTACCTTACTTTTTTTTTTGTAGTATTACATCCATCTTCTGGATGCATACTGCTCTGTGTTCTTTTTGTTCTTTTTGTTCTTTTTTCTGTTTTCCTACTGGGTGGCCAGTGCTGGGATCTAAACCTGTGACCTGAGTGTTACCAGAACCACGCTCTCCAAAGTGAGCTAACTGACCAGACTTGCTCTATGTTCTAATGTAGCTAGTCTTCCATCATCCTGTTTTCTTCCCATCTGGCTCTAAGGTTCTTTCCATCCCCTTTCTAGTAGATAGCTATTACATTGTAAATCTAGTTATGTGATTTTGGAAGCACAAATCAGTTACATTATTTCTACCCTGTGGTTTAAAAAGTGGCAGTGTTCAGTCTCATGCAGACACAAGCAATTTTTTGATATGTAGGAAGGAAATTTTGGAAAGCACTTATATGTGCCTTCAGTTTGTAAGTAATTAAAAAACAATTGCATATGCTTTACTGTTTGAAATAGACAAATATGTAAATGCAGAATCATTTCATAATAAATTTTTAAAATAGCGTGTGTATTTGTTATCACAGCTCGCAGGCATTCACCTAGACATGGTGCTGTGTAGTCCCACTACCATGGGGTATCTTCCTTTGGTCTTGTGATTGCAGTTTTGCTGTTGTCTTATATTAAGGAAAACATGCGGTTCACATGGAAGAGCTTAACGTCTTTGTCATTTCAGTGAATTGCAAAATATATTTCTGTGTTTATCTCACACACTGGTTCAGTTATAAATTTACTCTTATGTCTTCATACCTGATTATAAACTCCTTGGAGAAGCATTTTATTCATACTTTTGTCACTAGCCACAGGGATGGTCCTTAGTTATAAGGTAAGATTTGGAATCATATATTTAGTAATTATATTATTACAGTAACAGGATATTCCTGCTGTTGTTGTTTTTTTCTCCACCATATGGAGTACCAAAAAGAAGCATCTTGTTTAACACATAAGACACACACACACACACACACACACACACACACACATACACACACACAGGTGTGAACTCTGAGATTCCTGTTTCGTGACCCAGGGCTGGTGGCTTGAATTGAGATCAATGTGCCATTACAGGAACTGGTGTCATT